ACGGTAATCTACGATCCGCAAGGCGATGTGGCGATTTATCTCTGCCTACATCATTACACGGCGACGGTGAACTACGATCCGCGTGGTGATGTGGCGATGGCGATCTATGTACACCTACATCCCTATGATACGGCGACGGTAATCTACGATCCGTAAGGCGATGTGGCGATCTATGTGTAGGCGATAGAGTGCGGCGTTGGACGCGCGACGGCGACGTAGCTCGTACACGACGATCCACCCGGTTCATTTCTACGGCGACTCCATTATCTCTCTGTATCCTATTTACGCGGCGCGGTTGAACGTCATTCGCGACCGACTTCCCCTGGGCATCTTCAGCGTGGTCGTAACCGGTTCCCCTCCTCGGTGGGGCCTGCTCTATCTCGATGCGGGGCGCGGGCTGAGGCGGGCGGTAGGGCGGCTCCCCCCGCACAGTCTCTACGTTTTCTAACCACCTATCAACGCGTACCCTATTTTCGACTAATTCGTCCTCGTTTAGGCTTTCCCTATCGGTTTCTTCTTGCAGTTGCGCGATATCCCTAGCATATTTCTTCTTGACGAGATCTTCCTCTATTTGCAATTGCTTCCTCCTAATTGCAGCTAGTTCCTCCGCGGCATTATATTCGATTTGTTTTAATCTTGCTACTGCGCTAGCTGTCGACCGGGCTGAACGGACTGAACGGACCGACGGGGCGCGGGACGCGGGCCTATGTACAACGTCTGCTACAGGCGCGACGGTACGCACTATCGAACTAGTTTCCGTAGTCGGAAGATCTTCTATAATCGCGGCGAGCGTTTCTGTGCACGGCGCGGATGTGCTAACTTCTCCCAAGCGATCGGTTGTAGACACGGACATAACGGGGCGCGGCGGCGCGGGCGCGGGCGTGGGCATAGATGCGGGCGCGAGCGGGGGCTGCGGCGCGGCGGGGGGCGCTTGTGCCAACGCGAGATAATCGGACGGGGACGCGGGTGCTTCCTCGAATATCCGCATTCCTACTGGCGTTTCGTCGTCGTTCCGTGTCTTCTGGCTTCTTGTCTTCCGCATGATGGTGTCCCTCGTTGCGACCTCCGATCGTCTTCAAAAAGACGCACGTATTGGACGCCGTTCCCGCCTCAAGGGCGTTACCGGATGGTCACAGTTTGGCACCGTTAGGGAGCAACCACCCGGCCGCGTAAACGCGGTTAAGAAACAGGAATTGTCTGGAAACAGACAATATATATGACGTCGATGTAAATAAGAAACGAGGAAGGAGTTAGCACCGACGATCTTCTCTCTTCGTTGACGTACTTCTTTCTTCCTCGAAGATCTTCTGTAATGATCTTCTTTCTTCTGTAATTATGTTCTCTCTTCTATAATTATGTTCTTTCTTCAATAATTATGTTCTTTCTTCAATAATTATGTTCTTTCTTCTATAAATATGTTCTTTCTTCTTTCTTCTGGCTTGAATCCGGCGACGATGGACCAAGAACTTGTTATGGATCGCAGTGGACTGTATTGTTGAGGGGTACGCTAGGGGCAACTGCTTAAAGAAAAGATGGTACTGTCGAACTATACTGTATTCTAACTATTTACAAATGTGGCACTATCAATTAAACTATTATACAGAGGGGAGTCTTCTTAATGGAGTCTTCTTGAGTCTTGATTTTCTTGATTTCTCTTGCTGTCTTCTTCTCGTCGAGTGCCGCTTCCGAAATGAACAGCTCACCGTCCGAGACGCCCTTCTTATATCTCGCCGGAGAGCGTCTCGGGTCGTGCGTAGCGTCGTCCGCGATGCCGCGCGCTCATTGGTCGGCGTCATCGCGTGATCTGCTGCCGGTGTGCGGGGTGCGCGGGGCGCACCGGGGTGTGAAGGGGCGACGGGGCGGCGGCCTCCTCGCTGTCCGCTACACTACGTTAGTACGTATTGGAACGATGGCCCACAAGTTGGCGCGAGATCCGTCTGGTGTCGGTTTTTTACAAAAGATCAAAGGGTTGTGGCAGAGTATTGGCCGCCGCATCCACACGTTGGCCGCACGTTCAGTTTGCTACGAGCTCCCAGAGTGAATGCACGCACCTGATTTAAATTTTATATGCACGCAAGTGTCTACATAACGGCAGTAACAATGACCAATGAAAAAACTTTTCACTTTATAGAGCCCTACCAAGCCGAAAATTGTTTGTATAACACAAGTATTTTAAAAAAAAAATGTTATTATACACTAGGATTTTCTCCTGTATCGTGGAGGCAGTTTAGAAACATAAATTGCATAAGGACAAACATCCAGACCCGGAGAAATTATGTGCAGGCTATACAAGTACTTGTTCCGTGCGGGATTCGAACCCGCGGCCCCCAGGGCAGCAACTCATTGCTAAGCCACTACGCCACGGAGCCGTCAAGAAATAAAATTTATTTTTTCCATTTCTTTTTGATCACCCTTATCTTATACACATTCACGTTGTAGTGATTGATGTATTAAGTTATTTATTGATGTATTAATTGATTTATTAAATATCTTAAAATCTATAATATATAATATATATTAAAATCAAATTAAAAAGTAGGATACTAAAATCATGTTTTTACTGTCTTTATTATTCCCTATTAATTACTTCATTTCGTTAATAATACGGTAATTTTTAGCTATGGAAGAGCGAAGTCACCTGTTACAGGCATTATTTTGCTTACTAGATGACCTCGATCACTGATCGTATAATGTAACTTTAATGTTTGACGAAATAAATTATTTATTATTATTATTAAGTTCGCCATATGTACTACTTAGTGCATGAAAGTGTAAATAAATAAATATATTCTATAATTATATAATAACCCTTTTCAAAAAGGTTTTGTTTAATAAAAATTTTACAACAGTTTCATAGACAGGCTTCGAATATTTTCCAGGCCTTAGTTAATTATACCTATGCCTAGGTGTGCTAATGTTTATATAGTTTACTTATCTGTATAACGTTAGTGTATAATAAAGAAATATTAAAAATTTATATTAAAATATTAAATATTAAAAATAGTGAAAATTAAATAAAGAAATAGTGGTATGCTGTGAATAAATAAACCGCAGCAGCCGTTAGCGCATCAATAATCATATTAATAAATTCGTCCGCACATTGGCCTGAACCAAAGCAAACTGAACGACCTTCCAACGTGTGGACGCGATCACAATTTCTTGGCCAATAACTCTGCCAACACATTCGCCACTGTATTGGCCAACGTGAAGAGGGGCCATAAGGCGAGTGTGAATGAAAGTGTTGGAAGGGGTAGACCTAGGCGGACATTTCTAGACTAAATCAGGGACGTCTTGAAAAAAGGCCAGGTCAAGAGTACCCTAAACCGTAGAGCATGTATGAAGGGAATAATGAAAGTGGACGAAGCAAAACATGTATGTAAGGATCGTAGCAAGTGGAAAGAACTGGTCTCTGCCTACCCCTACGGGAAAGAGGCGTGATTATATGTATGTATGTAAACCTATACTAACGCATACACTCGTTGAATCCATCGACTTCTACGTGACAGGCGGAATTGTTTATGTGATGTATATGCATCTAAATGACTTGTACGAGTGTCCTGTCGGTAATATTTTTTTACTATTATAAACCAGTGTATTACTCCTATCCCTATGGTGAGTGGTGATGCAGCCGAAGATGGTAAACGTACTGACTTAGCTTTACAGAAGCCTATTCACTTTTGCCTTAAAGGCACCCATACTGTAATCGAATGGAAAGACAAATACTGGCAAGAGACAAATGATTCCACTTCTTTGCTGTAGACATTATGCACGACGTAGTGGACCATCCATTCCATTACAGCCTATAAAAGTCCACTGCTGAACATAGGCCACCCCTGTAGATTGCCTTATAGGGGGGAATTTGCCATAGTTCCAACCACAGTTTTCTATTTTTGAGGTGTTATCAGAAAGACGTTGTTACCCATCCCTTGGTCCAATTTTTCACGGGACGGTATGAGGTAGTAGATATTCTTACACCGCCACTACACGCACGAAGAGAACCGTTATACTGTAAAACACCGTTACTGTTGTGCCACGATAATATCATTACAGAAACGTCAATGATGTGCTTATTTACTAAGTTAAGTGTTTATTAAACAGACATAATATAATATATACCACAATCAATACCATTCAATAACGATAAGAATATCGAAATGAATAGTGATTCGATTAGTTACAATAATGTGGTAAGGTCACTGTTCGCATACGACCGGCGAGCGCGCAAGTCTGTCGTCAAGTTGCACGCTGTCCGTGCGTTGGTTTTCTTCTCATACAAAACACAAACAAAATACGTAAGTATTTTTTGCTTAAGGTCATCAACTTGTAACCCTGTTACGTTAAGTGATATGGCTTTATTAAATTGCTTAGTTTTTGTCAAAGTGATTATAGTAATACAGAATGCGTGTCGTTAGAAATTGGATAATTGTATCGTATTTGACATGTATCTTTCTGATAGCTGTGGAATCTGCGGCCTTGATTGGCGGGAATAATTTAGTGAGGTAAGGACATTCATTTTTATTTGTTGAGGTCAATATGTCGCTGCATGTCATTTATCTGCACCGCCAAATGATTATTGACCTAAAGTGTAATTTGAATTCTGGTACATCTATGTATATAAATAAATATTATAATATAATATACCTATATATAAATATTATTTTATTACGATTTCATTAACTCGCTTTCGTGTAAGTCCGTTCGCGTCGAATTTAGTCATTTATTTTAAACTAACTTCTCGACGAGCTAGGGACTTGAAATTTTGGACATAGTTCAGAATCGGATGACAATGTAAGAATACGAATGATGATATGTATGATCAGAGATATTATTTGCTTGCCATGTAGATAAATTAATGTAGATAAATGTTAGAAAAATTCAGCGTTAGACTGGCCGATGATGCTGAATATGCAATTAAAATGCTTTACTATGAAAGTGCTTAGTTTTAAATTAGAAATAAAATAATATTAATAAATAACGTCTTTTAAACTTAATGTTCTAGCATGGCGACCATAGATTACAAGAATGTTCCTATTGAAGAAAAAGCTCTCTACGTGCCACCGTTAAACGAGATAGCTGATGGTGAGTGTATATTAAGATAAATCGCTTATAATGATTTCTTATATTATTTATATTTTTATGGTCACGGGGGACTGAGGTGGCTGACGTCCCGATGTCAGAGTTAACCCAGAGTACCTTCAGCTTTTTTAATTATTAGTTTTGGTCCGATCTACGCAGAATGAACTTACTGTGTCTTGAAATCTTGCAGTGGTTTAGATTTAATTTTATTAATTACAGGATCCCCAGCGGGTAGTAGTACCCAAACTAGCTCTCTATTGAAACTAGGATGTTTTTTTTTTAATTTCAATAGCCTCACGTATCATCCTAGGCAGGAATCGATGTTCTTTCGCGAGAATTTGTGGTCTATCAAATCTAATGTGCGGGGGCCGTCTAGGATATAATCGCAAACTTCAGTCTTCCCGGAACGTTGGTGTTTCACGTCAGCTATGTGTTCTTCTACGCGAGGTTTGATAAATCGTTTTGTTTGTCCTATATATGAGAGACCATATTTATAATCAAGCTTGTACACTCCTGCATCTTGTAGAAGGATATTACACTTGACGGATGGTAAGAACTAACTAATCTTCTTCGGCGGCTTGAAGAATGTTCTAATAGAAGCTCGTTTCAAGATGTAGGCAACCTTGTCTGTGACACCTCTGACATAAGATAGTACAGCAGGCACACGCTCGACTGTGGCCGGCTTTACTCGGTCACTGTGACGTAGGCGCGGGACCCAAAGCTTGTTGTCGTGCAGAACCTGCTTGACATGCTGAAACTCGGCCACCAGGTGTTTGCTGTCACAGATCTATTTTGTTAACTGTTAAAGATGATGGTGGGATTCACCGTTTAAATATTGTTTCTTTTTCCATACACAGTGTGACCTATGTTATTGTTAGGATTTCGGATGACTAAACCCAAGCATACCACTGCAAGACTTCAAGACACAGTAAGTTCATTCTGCGTAGATCGGACCAAAACTAATAATTAAAAAAAGCTGAAGGTACTCCGGGTTAAATCTGACCCCGTGCCCACGGGTACTGTTACTGTAAAGCACCTGAAACATCGAGAATTTAAAAATAAGTTCATTTTTTTATTACGTGGTAGAGCCATGCTGCAGCTATATAAGTAGTATAGTTGTAGCAAGAATGGGTCGGCTCGACCGGGGAAGGATCACGCTCTCACAGAATACCAGCGTAAAATAGCAGCTTAATGCTGATGTGTTTCGTATGGTGAGTGTAGAGAACCGGAGACCTCTTTTATTGGCAAAGAGGCATTCCATCTTAGTCCTCACGGGTGACAACGCATCTGCATCTTGAGTCTTTATTGAGGATAGATGTAGATGTCTATGGGTCACAGTAACCACTTACCATCAGGTGGACTGAGTGCTCGTTTATCGCCCTATCCTATAAAAAAAATTAAACGCGATAGAATCCGTAAAAGTGTTTTATTCAATAAATCGCTTATACTATTTAGAGTCTTAAAAGAAAGTACTCCTTGATCTTTAACGATTATTTCAATTTGATAAGGTATCTGATACGGTTACTTCCTATTAGTCTACTACTGAACATAGGTCTCTTCCGTAGATTGCCTCATAGAGGGAATATTTGCCATAGTTGCCACGCTTGGTGAGCGGGTTGGCAAACGGAGTATTTAATTTTAGTAGTTATTAGGAAGACGCTGCTGCCCATCTCCTGATTTGTTTCCCTTTGTCGCGTTATAATACATACACCCATGGGATGATATGGGGTAGGTAGTGGATATTCTTACACCGCCACTACACAGTAAAATATTAAGTGTGGGTACCTAGTCCGAGACTCTTGCCTGATAAAGTAAAGCATTGTATACAAATACAGAATTTGATGACATCTGTAACAGCATTCAGTTTTGCAGGACTTTCTTCTGGACGTAATGCGTCTCGATGATTTTGTGAACGTACTTCTCTAGTAGGTACTTACCTACTTTTTATGGGATGTTATTTTACTTTGCGCAGTTGTTAAACGTATACTTATAGATTACTATATCACTGTTATTAGAGTCAAATCATGCAGAAATTGCTCACAGGGTAATATTTAAAACACTATAGTGTGATATTTAAAAAAAATACCTACGCATTTGCCCGCTTTAGATGATTCATGATTATAAGCGATAAAACACGTCAGTATTTTTTTTCTTACTAACGCCAATGAAGTATTTTTCAAAAGCTTATGTTTAAGTGTGGAGTTCTTCTAATATTTGGAGATAAAGCAGCGCTATAAAAATGATGATTGTGATGGAGGGTCAAAAAAGATAATACTATGTTAGCAATTTATTGCTGCATAAACTTGTATATATTATGTATAGAGCAGCAGAAGAATGAGTAGTGCGTCTAAGTATTCAATTTTGGAGTTATTAAAATTTATAACCCAAATTCTTAACAAAAAATCTTGTTATTCATATAGTACCAAACAAGAACTCTATTACCTACATCAGTCTATAAATGCTTTTTCGAAATTAGTGCAAGACAATTCATCTATACAAATAAATAAAATTGAAGTGTCTGATTGTAACGTCGAAATAGCAGCTTTTTACTATATGCGTATGAAAGTAGGTATATACGGTACTTATAAACACGATTTTTAAAATTTTTGTCTGTCTGTCTGTTTGTTCCGGCTAATCTCCGAAATGGCTGGAACGATTTTGACCGGACTTTCATTGGCAGATATCTGATATAATAAGAAGTAACTTAGGCTACTTTAATTTAAAAAAAATAATTAGGGTTCGGCGCAAAGAATTAAAACTCATGAATTCCAATCGTAGTAAATTATGCGCGGGCGAAGTCGCGGGGAACAGCTAGTGATAAATCAAATATTTTAAAACTTGAATCTACTATAACAAAATTAATTCAACAGTGTTATCTCGTGGACTTCAGAGCACATTTGAGTCTGTGGATGTGTCGGTTGTGGAGAGCCCCGATCTCACGCAGCCGCCCTTCGAGCTCACTTCACCAGGTTAGTATATAATATATGTTTGTATCGTATTGTCGATCCATATATAATATTATATTTTGATTATATGTGTCTACTGCAGCTTATACACACCTGCAACCGAAAATAAAGTTGGCTACAGATGCATTGTCACCTCTGACCTCTGAGGACGAAGATGGAATACCTCAATGTCTATCATTATCCTCGCACGCACGTGCTTGCCGGTAGAAATACGTTGGAAGTTATAAATCTCCGATATTGGTGTTTCCTCTGACATTGTATTACATAACGATGACCGTGAACTCGATCACCGAATCTCATCTCGAGTACTATCAAGAATAAACAGTAGATAAAGAAGATGCAGACAGTAGCAAGTTGTTGTTATTAACGCGATAACGAAGCAACTTATTGCTCCTTATCATTGCTTGCTTTTGTACTTTGATTTGTAATGTTAATTGTATGAACAGCCATCTAAATATAAATATATTTTTAGATATAATGTAAAAAAACGGTTTGGGTGCGATTCGGTCCGCCTTTACTATTAACTTTCCATTTTGTGTTCAATTGTAAATGCCGAAATACCTATTTAAAAAAAACCTTTATAATATAATATTATGCAATTAGGCGAATGAAATTAGCTTGGAGTAGATTATTTGTTCTTATATAAACAGTAGAACCAGACTCTAGGGACCTCAAAAAGTGAAATCATATTAAAAAACCCGATTGGATTTTTTTATAGGATAAGGGTGACAATCGAGCACACAGTTCACCTGATGGTAAGTGGTTGCTGCGGCCCATATACATCTACATCTATCCTCTATTATAAATCAAAATGCAGATGCGTTGTCACCCGTGAGGACTAAGATGGAATGCCTCATTTCCAGTAAAAAGGGTCTCCGGTTCTTTACACTCACCATACGAAACACAGCAGCGTTAAGCTGCTATTTTACGCTGGTATTCCGTGAGAGCGTGGTCCTTCCCCGGTCGAGCCGACCCTTTCGTGTTACAACCATAATATAGCTGCAGCATGGCTCTACCACGTATATAATCTTCATCTTATATCATCATCGTTATAATCAGCCCGTAAAAACCAATGGGCCGGGAGTGGGCCTCTACTATTCTTGGGACGATTTGCCTTAATCATAATGCTTGGCAGACGTTTGTATTGATTATTAACCGACTTCAAAAAGGGGGAGCTACTCAATTGGACTGTATTTTTTTATTTACTTTTTTGTGTGTTACCTCATATACACTGTATTCTAGGTGAACCGATGATGATTCTGTTTTTATTTGAAAGCTGGTGCTTATCATGTGGTTATATCAACCATATAAATTTAATCAAGGTCAGACCAGTAGTTTTTGAGTTATCCTTAATAATTTATATTCAAGTCGGTTGTACAATTTTTTAAATTTTGCCGCTTGTAAAAATATTGTAAATTTGTAATACGTAACTTCTCTAAGAAACTTCTATTCACAGAATGCCAGTAAAATAGCTTAACAGCTAACGGTGAGCGTAGAGAACCGGGGAACCTTTTTACTGAAAACGAGGCATTCCATCTTAGTCCACACGGGTGACAACGCATGTGCATTTTGATTCGTTATCAAGGATGTAGTACATAGATGTCTATGGGCCACATAAATCACTTACCACTAGGTGTTCAGTGTACTCGTTTGTCACCCTTATTCTATATAAATATACGTAAACATACTAAGAAGAAAAAGTATTGCTGTAATTGCTAAAGACTTTAAAGGGAAAGTTAATATATTTGCTTGCAGGATTAACGGGGAACGCAAAGTTGGTAGAAATCGGTGGCCCACCATATTTGGTGCCTCTGGTTCGGCGTGACAAGATCTACGACTTGGCAGAGCTGCTGCGGTTCCTTCAGCGAGACCCCGCCTTACTCGCCGGAGCCGGTGCAGGGCCTTGGCCTTATATTGGTGTAAATTGCGAGGTAAGGTAGACTCTTCAGTAAAAGTATCCCCTTATAGCCCTTAAACGTCTACTGCTGGACCTCTCCCGTTGTAAGTTGAAGATTGCTGTAAAAATTGCAAAAATCCGCACCTTTGATGCTGCTGTCTGTTTCGTATCTAGATATTTTACTCCTGGCATATAAGATATCGCATACCGCAGTCTATCGGAAGCTATATGATCTTCTTTGGCTTGATCCGTAGCCGCCTCTTACGACACCCACGATAATTCTATTTTAAGATTTCTTATAACACCATTAATATCGAAAGGGTTTCTAGCTGACCCTAAGTTGGAAGAGTATCTCCCTCTATATTACTGCCACCACTAAACCAATCACTATTATCTAAACTCAACACCTCTCCTAACTTCCATACTTAAAACAAACCACCGTCAATATTACGATACGCGTTTCGCCTCAAAACGAGGCGTCATCCGATGAAATACTCAGCCATGAGTAACCGCCTAAATTATTATTCTTGCTGCTAACATTATTGGTTCAACTGTTAATATTATAAGTCTTATCGCCAAGATTATCATTCTTATCTTTAGATTATTATTGTTATCGCTAAAATTATTATTTTTCGCTTAGATTATTATTCTTAGTGGTAAGCCATTGCAGAATTTGTCTTGTTGTTGTCTCATTTAGGGGCGAAGACGCGTCGTGTTATAAACGAGATATTCTTTGCTTCTCATTTTCTATTTAATTTATACTTATTATGGTGGTCTCTACCTTTAAAAATAGAAGGCCACAAATAGCTAAAAGAATTACTAAGATAGTTTCCCAACCAGATAATCTTCCTGATGAAAACTTAACATAATAAAAATTTACGATCTTCGACTCATCTGCCAAGCAACGGCAGCTATGGCCTCCCAACAATATCCTCCCTATGAAGCAATCTCTTTTGACAGGTAGATATTGATAATTATTATGATGAATTGTTTAATGAATTCTTTCTGCCTGGTGCCGTGTAGGGCATCATCAATGTGAGCGTGCGCGGGGGTGAAGTGGAGCAGGGCACGCGCGTGGTGTCGGTGCAGCCGGTGGGCGCGGCCAAGGGCAGCAGCTCCTACCTGCAGCGGCGCCTGCCCAAAAACGAGACCCGCTCTGCGCTGCTCGGCAACTACCTGCTCAGCGACGGACAGTCCGGGAAGGTACGTAGTTCCTTAGTGCGTACAAATACCATCGTTTGTTCCAACTTCCGATCGTGTCTTTTATATTGATTCGTTTCCGATATCTTAATTGAATGGATTCTATTTAAATATTAAAGGCTTTGAACTCAATGCAAAGAAGTACTATGTGGTTTGTTGATCACATCAATATAGTTAGAACCAATCTTCGATTCGATCACAGGCGCAAAGTAGCAAGTCTTCTTCTAAGATACATTCAAGCGCAGGAATTGCATGACTTAATTCCTTCCTTTCCATTCCATCACCGGACCACCAGACGTTCAGCTGGTTTCCACACATTGTTGTCAACATACCACGCATTCGAACCAAACGGTTTGCTTCGTCCTACATGAAGCGTACAGCAAAGGAGCAATTTGCCATCATCTTTGCATCCGATTATAATGTGGGTGTTTTCAAGGCAAGAGTGAATAGGCTTTTGTCAAGCTGTCAGTGCACTTTACCATCTTCAGCTGCATCACCACTTACCATCAGGTGGGATGGTAGTCAAACACTGGCTTATAATAGTAAAAAAAAAACAATATAAGCAAGAACTATTTATATTTAGCCGCCAATAGTTTAGTGTTTAATTGAAGTGACAAACTAACTTACGGTTTACCTGATGGCAGCTGGCCCCTTCAACCGATGGAATACCTTACAGCTTGTAATTATACTGGCTTTCTATACTCTTCGAACTGGAACTCAGTAGTATAAGCACTGCTATATGGTGTCGGAACTAGGACTCTCTAGTTCTTCGAGCCGGATGTTTACAACGATAACAACCGATTTATAATTTTACAGGTATTAAAAGTGGTGGTTAAGAAGCGAGTTGGTAAATCCAACTTCATCACTGCCATCAGAGATACTCTAAAGGAGCACTACGGAGATAAAGTTGTAGGTAAAGTTATTTTATTTTGTAAATGATACGAGTATATTTAGTGACAAATATGGCTTTTGGCTTTGGTGGTTCGCAGAATAAATTTTAATTTTAATTTAAAATTGGAGTCATGGTAGATCTCTGGCTGGGCGCTCGCAATGAACTTGATTGTAGGTACTCTAGTTACTAGTTAGCTATATTTTATATTTAGTAGATTAGAAATAGATAAACCAAATTACGCATATACCTTGTTTAGTGTAGCTATTATTAATATAGTTAAATCAAGACTGTTCACTTTTGATAGTATATTTTTTATTATTTAGTATTACAGGAAACATCATTAGGATTTTGAAAACTTCTAACCATAGATAAACTAAAAAAACTAGACTACGGTAACAACAATGTTGCCACTTTAATACATTTGATTACCTAAAGCACAATATCCAAACAGGATGTTCAACCCCTTCAAGTCCGACATTACAATTTTTAGGATATAAACATCAATCATAGTTGTAGGAAACATGATTATGAACATATTATAAGAAACAGCTATTACTGATTAAGCATACAATATGAAAACAGCTCTATGTAATTTTTTTACATGATTAAGTCTAATCTTTACTTTTGAAATATTTTTGGTCGTCTTACCAGTCGTAAGCTCAAAAAAAATTATTAAAAATACAAAAAATTTAAAAGCAAATCACTGAGGCATTGTTTTACATATGTGCACATTGTACACACTAGGGTGGAGTGAAAAAATGTTTTTTAATATTCAATACAGCATACCCGCAAAAGGCTTAATAAGGAAATGCGAAAATATTTTTTTCTAGATTTATATTTAGAGGTAACTGCAGTAACTACTTCCCAGCAGGAGGGATACACGTTATCTTGAGGTTCACATCACCATTGGATCACTTGTTTCCTCGTTTCCACTAACAGTTCACATGAAGTTTAATACATAAAATCGCACCACCCACTATTACATATCAAAATCCACTTCAAAACATTATTCCCGGCGGTCAAGTGGCCAAAACTCCCGGTCCTGTTTGATTTCCCTCATCCGTGCAGGTCTGGGTGGCACGTTCCTGCTTCGGGCGGGTCGCGTGAAGCACCACGTGATGCCGGACTTCTCCGCGACGCCGCTCTGCTCCGACTCGGACGTGGACAACTGGCTCCACTACTTCGAAATGCGGGCGCCTATCACCCACGTCGGCACGCTCGTCACCGGTGATTTGGTGAGTAGGGTAGTAATTTACGGTATAAAAATAAGGGTTGTGACCAAAATGTTCGTATTGAACCATAGACTATGTATACTACTAGACTGGCAATGTAGAACAAAAACTATGTCACAGTAGAGGACTGCGCGACAGCTAGCACGGTAAATATGTCACGCGGTCGTATTTTCATTTATAACAGTTAACGAAAATACGAATTAAAGTTACATACTCGTCTGAAATAAACTTCAAATCACGTTAGCAAAGTGCGCACGTAAATAATGATAGGGTTTTCTTAGCCAAATTAAACATAATGAGTGTTATAAGTAGCAGCACGAAAGTCTAGCGGTGAAGTCCCACTGATTGGCTTATTACACATAAGTCGGGCTGATTGGCTCGTGCGTATCGTTCGCACGCGCTGATTGCCTCTTCAGTTGCATTCGTGCAATTCAATTCGTGCGCGTCCCTTCCACGTTTCGTTCAGCGCTAGAATTCGGGCCGCAACTGCTAGATTGTTGAAAACAATGTTCGTGGTTTACAAAGCAAAGAACTAGTGTTCTCGCGCGCTCGCCGTCGTCTAAAGAAGTTTCGGAGAATTGACCGTAACTTAGTGCGCAATGTATTATTAAGACCGCGGTGCTCATCTATTAGTATACATAGGAGTTTTTGAATTGAAAACAATCCTTAATGCTAAAAGTGGTTTATAATTATTAGTCTCGTGTATAAACTAGAGTTTGTTTCAGGATAGAAATCCTGTTGAAAATATACGAACTACAATGTAAAGTTTTGAATTTGACAGTAAATTTCAAATTTTGCGTATTTGATGTTTCAATAAAACTCGGGAAACTATTTTAGTTTTTTTTTTTTAGTTACTTATGTTAATTAACGATTGGGGAGAATAAGCAACAATTCAAATTATTACCGTGCAGTGCAGCATTTTTTTCTGTTAGGTCAAAGCAATAACGCTATGCACAATTATTTTCACTTGAAACATTGCGTCTGCAGGGCTTAGATCTGCGCGTGCAGCATTTCCACGGATACAGCGCGCACGGAGACGGTGGCCACTACCACTACGACACCACCCCCGAGGAGGTGGAGTACGAGGGATACTTCGTCCCGGCCGCCGCTGTCGTGCGAATCGACCCGCCCGAGAATACGCACAGCTTCGGACGGGATTGAACAATTGATATTGCACTGAAGTTTCACCGTCGAATACTGCTTTAATTTTTAAATATTCCAAGCGTTGTGACTTACTATACAATATTTTGCTATTAAATTAAGTGTTTTTTTCTTATCGGACTAAAATATTAAGAATTTAGAAAAGAATAATTGGTTTCGTTCTCCTGATATATGGTAAAAAAACACACATCTTAATTTCGGCGCACATAAGAGCCTATATCTTGATAAATATATTATGTGAAAAGATAATATATTTATCAAGATATAGGATATAGATATAGAATTCACCACAGTATCAAGGGTAGGTACTCGTAAGTAGGAAAAAGTGTCTCCCCTGAAAATATCTTTCCTGCGTGGATGATAATGAACGAGACTTCTTAACTTTATCATCTCACTTAAATACGCTCCATGTCAAAGAAAGATCTCATCGAGTATTATCAGAAGAATTCGGAGGCTTCAGCAAAAATATTAGCAATTTGTGTATCGAAACTACTTTCAAAAAGGGCGACCCATGGCAATGTGGCATACCTTTTTGGTCTTTTAAATCTCTGCCTGATATTCTATTCATCAATCCGTAAAATTTCAAAGTTTGGCATAGACTGCTTCTTAATTAAAACAAATATTTCTAAATATTTGTTTTAATCATCACGCTTGTATTGACAATCGCATTACCAGAAGCAGAGGCTTAATAAATCTGCGATATCCGTGAATGAATGGTAAGTATAAGGATGTGTTAAAGCACAGAATAAATAAACAAACGTAGTTAAAGGTATGTATAAAATAAAACTGCGATTCTGTTTGGATATCGGTATATTAAAAAGTATTTTCGGTTTTTGACACAAGAGATAGTGTGAGAAATACATAAAGACTTACGGGTATAGCGTTTGAATACAAAATTAATTAATACACTGTCAGGCCGTTTGTTGATTGGTCAGTACGACATAGATGCGGCGTCCGCTTTCATCTTCTTCATTGGTCAATCCTTTTTAGCGTCACATACGCACTCTCTTACAATATTTAAGAAAAAATGCGATTACTAGTACTCTTTAAATATTAAAGTTGACAAAAAATTACTTTGCGTACATCCGCTAGATAAAATAAAATGATGTGTCTTACCTAGTTTAAAGAGCACCTCCCGCCCTCCCTCAATTGCGAGCGCTATCCCCGTCACCACTAATCCCAACACCACTACACTAGGAAAGACCACTGACGACAATACGACACGTGTTTCGCCTCTACACGAGGCATCCTCAGGTGATATAGACTACGGTGGCTAACCGCTAAGTGCTCTATAAATAGTAAAATCATTATTATCTCCTTTCATTAGCCCGTTAAAGTCTACAATTGGACATAACTTGGTCTTGTTTTGATTCGTTCATACTCTTTAGTTGTTGCCTTAATCGCCATGGAAATTTATTTGTCTTAGCCGCATGCTCGTTTGACTCCTCTTTTAAATAAATAAAAAAAAAACACTTGGCTGGTGGATTGGCGATTGCAGAACCAGAGGTCCCGCACCTGTGACACTGCACCACTTTATCAGTCTGCGTATCTTACGTCTGGTGTAAAAGAGATGTAACGCCATCTGTCGAAAACCATAAGATCTTTGTAGGACTTCCTATAATCGCTTCTCACTACATAATTACGTAACACCACAATATTTCCGAGTGGCGACGGCGTAAGTGAATCCATCACCACATTTTGACTCGTGAGGGTCGTAATTATGTGAAGTTTAGAAACACCATCTGTCGGAAACCATGAGATCTGTATGGGATTTACTATTGTCACCACTCACGACATGATCACGGAACTCTATTTATTATTTAACACGTAAGAGAATCTATTATCTCATTTCGTCCCGTGGGTATCGTAAGCAGCAACGATGTGAACTATATGATGGGCTCATGAGCTCATATATGACGATATACCAACTCTTATAATGTGACAGACATCAATATGTGATAACCTTTCTACAATAGTAAATATTAGTGTTCTCAAGCCTGCGTGCAATCAATCACCTACACTATTTCTTCTGCATATCAATATGTAGCAAACCAGAAACTATACAGATGATGTGACGGCCGTGCCTATATTTCTCAAGAACATGTCATCGGGTGCCGGAACAAAGTTGTGCCTGAAGTCGCGTCTTTGTTAAACAAAGTATGTGATTGAAGACGACTAAATCTGTGAGTCGCATGTTCGTTTGCTCTCTCTCCTCTCAAAAGGCCCATACTCAAAACCAGTCTGTTGCGGGTTGATAAAAAAGAAAGATGTATTAATAAATGGGAATATATTTGACAAACGACGTACAATACGAAACTGCAGCACATTTTTGTGGTCGCGAGGCGGACAAATGGTACGCCGCTGGCGCGTGAAGTCTCTAATCTCTATTATTGTGTAATATTTGCTAGATCACGGCATATACCGAGCGTATGTTGAATAGCTGTCGTACCAACCAATCAAAACACGGCGTTAAATCGCCATTTTGCATAAATCTCCAGCTCATTGCACTGGACTATATTGTTATACTTTGGTTCGGTGCAGTGGACGAGAAGTATCAGATTTAATACGCCAATTAATTCATTGTAATTATTTTATTGTCATAGCAATTGTTAATAAAATGAATCAGTAATAAATAGTGCAAATGAGATCTGAACGTCGTCGAAGCGAGGCCGGGCTACGACAAAAACAACGTGGAAGCTCTTTAAAATTTAGAATAACAAATAATTTCATAAGCAAACGAATTTAATAAAAAATCTATCACTATATACATACAGTTTATATTACTAAGAGTTGATTACGGCACTTAAACCTTTATGACATGAAACATGAAGAAGATAATCCGTAGTGCCGAGGCACAGATTATTTTACTATAGATTATCTCCTTATAATTTTTAGACCCTACTCACACGGCACCTTAGTTCGTGTGAGTTGAGGAACTAGAAATAGGTGACGTAAATATAGTTATTTGTTACATACACCAATACATAAAATTAAAAATGCATCAGGACTATATAACGGTCGATGTCAACTCTTAAAACCTTTACACATACAAAAATACCAACGACTATCTTACAATTCTATATACAGTTCTGAGTGAAATCACAAAATTTACATCAATCCCAAATTACTTATACAAATAAGTATAGACCTATTTCTTCACTAAACGGATAGGCGTGAGCTTCGTGGCGTGAGCTTTCGTGAGCTTACTGTTGCGAGTAAAAGACGTGACCGACATTTTTGCAACTGCAACTAAAAAGAGTATCAAGACAAAATTGTATCACGCGTTTATTTCCTAGTCTCATGAATAGTTCAGGTGCTATTTTCCGAAATCTCTGCGACTGTCGGCTGCGACTAGTAACTCGTGGCTATCGGTTTAGTGGAAATTGACCTTAAAACAAAGTGAGTGATGTTCGTTTTTGACATTAACTTTTCTTTGACTCATTATCATATTATTTATATTGTTGGTAGATTTCGTCACATTTACCGTATTAAGTACCATAAAATATAAATCTGTACGATCTATTCTATTGTGTTTCAGTAGATTTTAGCAATTTTTATTGTTTAAAAATCTACCAAAAATACACGTGCAGTCAAATTAAACGATCTCTACTCCATAATGAATTACTGTTTCATTGAAACTACATCTAGCGTCGCATCTGCATCGTAGATTACTTCATGTACGAGCAAGTCACATATTTGCAAGATTAAACTTTAAGTAAAATTGGTATATTGTTTCTAATACAATATGAATTCAGTTTTATAGACAGCACGTGTTTGACAATTCAAGTGTGTACGTAGATATATATGTAAACAATAGATGTAAACAAGCGATTTTTTTTTTAATTTTGTACTAAAAAAATTAACACACCATGATTTTTTATCATTTGACTTTAGATTTTGAGCTTTGTTCAAAATGTCAAGCTCATCTGAAAATGCTCGAAATTTGAGTTGCAAGATTCCACCCGGAACGACAGACAAAAAAGTGAATTTAATAAACACGTGGTAAAATAATTAAGCTATGCCTTACCTAGTATGAAAAGCTCTTCAAACTAGATAAGATGCTCTGCAAACTAGGATTATTATGTTTTTCATGAGTTAATTAATGTTCATATTTTTATTGTAATGGTTTCCGCAAGTAATCCCCAATTAATATTAATTAATTAATTATATAAATAAATATTTATATCAAGTACAATAAAGTTATTCCTGTCCATTCGCAATTAACAAAAACATAAATGTACGTTGCAATCAAGTGCTCGTAAACTTCATTTCGGTACTCTATACGTATACGTATAACACGTTTCACGTCCCCCGCTATACTGAGGTTACGTCTCCGACACATTCTAGTTCTACCTACAGATACCGTCTCTTGTACATTAATGCATGTAATAAAATAATCTTTTCCGAATATATTCCTAAATAACATTCAAACTTTACAACCTTTTAGCACTAATTATACACAAGAAAACACTTATTTACTAAACTATAAGCCGCACGCAAAAGGTTTGCCGGTAATGACCCCTTCCAATTTCCGCTGATCGCAACGCTTTTGACACGTGACGTCATGATTCTGCAAACCTGCGAGCGGGTTGTATGCGTAGGTTTATAGATACAACAAAATTAAGTGATAGTGTAATAACATTTAACGACTTTAAGCTTTAACACACTGGCATAAGGTACAAATTCCAATGGTGTGCATCAATTTTAGAGGCCGGAGAGAAATGTTTGCACCTCGAAAATGCGACATGACAAAGAGTTTAGCAGAAAGTAATTTCGTATATACATGTTATATGAACTATAAACAATACAAACAATATCTATATGCTATAACATGAAATATACTATAATGTACTATATACTTAGAACATTGAAGTAATATGTAATATGTACTAAGTACAAGAAACACACAGTACTAAGTACAGCAACCACTTACCATCAGGTGGACTGTGTGCTCGTTTGTCACCCTTATCCTATAAAAAAAAAGAACAGTCACTGCGAAT